CTGAACTCTGGGCCTGGGCGCTGTCCCTCAGCTCTTCAGCTCAAGGCGAGCGCTCTACCACTTGAGCCACAGTGCCACTTCCGGCTTTTTTTTTGTTTTTGCTTATGTGGTGCTGAGGAATCGAACCCAGGGCCTCGAGCATGCAAGGCAAGCGCTCTACCACTGAGCCACCTTCCCAGCCTCACCTGGGAAGTCTTGAATAGAAATCTATATCCTCCTGACACAGCCAGCTGGTACCTGGCAGGGCTGCCCTGCTCAAGGTGTCCTTGTCTGTCGCTTGCAGGTGTTGTCAGTGCTCCAGCACCCTGCTCCCGGGGGCCTACAGGAATGGGCTGGAGGAGGGGACCTTCGTATGTGCTGAACACTGCACTAGGCTGGGCCCAGGGGCCCGGGCAGGATCCAGGCCTGGATCTCTCCTACAGACAAAGCAGCCACAAAGCACAGAAGCCAAGGAGAATGATGGAGGTGGTTCCAGCCCCAGGGCACCTGCAGGGGCTGCTGCAGATGCACCCAAGGTCAGCACCGAGGCCCGGCCTCAGGTCCCCACCAAGCCCCTGATTCCTGGCAAGTCCCAGGAGCTGGCCAGTCCCCCGGTGGCCCGGCCTACACCTGCTCCCAGGAAAGCCTCTGAAAGCATAGCCGCCACACCCCCCACGCCGCGGCCCCGGTCCAGCCTGCAGCAGGACGGCTCTGCGGAGCAGAGTGGCAGCAGCGGTGGCCTCGTGAACGGTGAGTGAGGGTGTGGGCAGGCTTCACGGGTGAGTGGATCTGTGCACCTGGGCATGTAAATGTCCCCGTGTGCCTGGGAGTGTTAGTAACTGCATGTGTGGTGAGCGTGCTGGGAATCACCTGTGTGGAAGCTCGTGATTCACGAGCAGACACTGCCTCCCTCTGTCTCCAAGTTCTGGCCCGTGTCAGGGTCCAGTCTGCTTGTGTGTGCTGAGATTTATGCGCTCTTGCATTTTGGGGGTGGGGTGAGTGTCCATCCTGGGTGTTCTTGAGTGTCTCAGGAACTCTGCACATGTTGATATCATTTGAGTGTCCTGCTAGTCCCCTGCCCCTCACCCCCCACCCACCTCCTGTGTCCAGCCTGGCTGATTATTCCTTGGCTTGCTGGGGAGGACGGACAGAGGGTCAGGTGGCCCCTGAGCCAGCGCGGTGCGCTGGAGGCCGCTTTCCACCGCTCGCTGCGCTGCAGGCTGCTCCTTTCCCGGGCGCCCTGCCTGCCTGGGTTCCCATAGCTCAGGGGAAATAGGCTCGTGGTAACCTGAGATGCACTGGAAACCTAGGGAGCTGCCCAGGGGCTCCTTGGTACTTCCACCAGAACATTCTACATGTTCAACTTGGCATTCCTGCAGCCTGGGGACAGGGACACAAATAATGTTCAGACGTCTTAGTACCTGCTTGGTCATGCCAGTGTGTGTGTGTGTGTGAGAGAGAGAGAGAGACAGAGACAGAGACAGAGAGAGAGATACACACACAGAGACAAACATGAGCATTTTGGTAGAACATGGAAAGCTTGTGAAAGTGGAAGGAGAAAGAGGAGGGGGGGGGAGGGAGGGAAGCACTGTGCTGTGGGATTCATAGGGGACATGGGGGTGGGGGGCTGAGGGGAGCATTCTAGGAGAAAGGGTGTCTAGGCTAGGCTGAGAGCACCCCTGCCCTGTCCGAATGGAGTTGAGCTTCCTCTTAAGTGGAAAGCAGAGTCTCCAGCGCTCTTGGTCTTGGCCTTGACTGTTCTGCTCACCTTTGGTGTTTATCTAATCTCCTAAGGCCTGGGCAGGGAGGCGCCATGGCCACCTGGGCTCCATGACCTGCCGGGTGTGGAGGAAGGGCACCCTTGGCCAGGCAGGTGCTCTAGCGGGCTCCTTCCCTGCCGCTCATGAAGGCCTGCTTCGCTCTCCTTTCCCATCTAGGACGACTGCAGGACCCCCCTGTACCCAAGCCGAGAGGGACACCCAAGCCATCAGAGAGGTATGTTGGCCCTGGGGGGTCTCTGGAGCCTGAGTGGAAATGGGGTCCCTGAGAATGGACAGGGCCAGCTCAGGAAGAAGCTGATCTCTGGGTGAGGACAGAGAGCTGTGCCAACATGGCCCGTTCCTCTGTGACACTCCTGCGGTTGCTGACCTGCTCCACAGGTGGGGACAGCCGTCCTCTCTAAGCATGGCCTGTCTCCCAGACAAGGGGCCAGGCCTTGTCCACAGAGTGTAGAAGGACCCAGAGGAGCTCCCTTCGGTGCCTGGATCCCAGGTCCTCCACCCCTGGGGAAGATGCATATTTGTAGTTTTTCTTTTTCTTTCTCTTTTTTCTTTTTTGGTGCCAGTACTGGGGCTTGAACTTAGGGCATAATTGCTGCCCCTTAGCTTTTTCCTTTTTAGGCTGGCTCATTATCACTTGATCTATAACTCCCCTTTTGGCTTTTTGGTAGTTAGTTGTAGGTAAGAGTCTCAGTTTTTCCTACTCAAGCTGGCTTTGAACTGTGATCCTCAGAGCTCAGCCTCCTGAGTAGCTAGGATTACAGGAGAGAGCAGGCAGCACTCAGCTTTGAAGCTTTTCTTTGCGAGCCATGCTTTGGCTGGCCCGTGTATGGGGGAGAGCCGTGGCTGTGTGTCATAGGTTAGTGACAGTGGAGCTGCTGGTTTACTGCTGTGTCCAGAGCCTGACATACAATTTGGAGGATCTTGACAGCTGCCCTGTGGGGCAGGGGGACATTACTGTCCTCATTAGCAGATGACACCTAGAGGGCCAGGTGACTTTGTTCAGATCTTTTTTTGTTGTTGTTGTTAGTTGTGGATCTTGAACTCAGGGCCTGACCACTGTCCCCGAGCAATTTTGCACAATTACCACTTTGAGCCACAGCACCATTTCCAGTTCTCTGGTGGTTGATAACAAAGAGGAATCTCATGGGCTGTTCTGTCCAGGTTGGTTTCAAACTGTCTTTAGATCTCAGCCTCCTGAGTAGGATGTATAGTTATGAGCCATCAGCGCCCGACTCTTGTTCAGATCTTATACAGAGCCTCTTTTCTTCACTCTCTCTGAGTCTTCAAAGCACTTGATTGGGGTGTGATGGTTATGGGCCTATACTTGGCCCTTGGGCTGGGCGAAGAAAGAGTATCTTCTTTTCCTTTTTTTGTTTTTGCTGGCCCTGGGCCTTGAACTCAGGGCCTGGGTGCTGTCCCTGGGCTCTTTTTTTGCTCAAGGCTATCGCTTTACCACTTGAGCCACAGTACTTCTTTTTTTTTGTCAGTCATGGGGCCTGAACTCGGCCTGGGCACTGTCTCTCAGCTCTTCAGCTCAAGGCTAGTGCTCTACCACTTGAGCCACAGTGCCACTTCCAGCTTTTTCTGCTTATGTAGTGCTGAGGAATGCAAGGCAAGCACTCTACCACTGAGTCACCTTCCCAGCCCTCTTCTGTCTTTCTTTTGTGATTAGAGATAAGAGTCTCATGGGCTTTTCTTCCCTGACTGGCTTAGAACTGCGATGCTCAGATCTCAGCCTCTTGAAGTAGCCAGGGTTATAGGCATGAGCCACCAGTGCCTGGCTTACTCCTTTCCTTTTGAAATAGACTCAACACTGTCCTGAGAGAGCAGGAGACTGACCCTCCCTTGACCTCCCTCTAGGTCACCAGCCCCCAGGAAAGACCCCCCATGGATCACACTTGTACAGACAGAGCCAAAGAAGAAGCCGGCTCCACTGCCCCCCAGCAGCAGCCCCGGGCCGCCAGGCCAGGCCAGCAGGCAGGTGGAGAATGGCAGTGTGGAAGATGGGGCCCAGCAGAGCCCCGCGGCAGGCCCAGAGCCCAAGCCCTACAACCCCTTTGAAGAAGAGGAGGAAGAGGAAGAGGTGCCAGCCCCTGTGGTGCCCAGTTCAGCGCCCAGCCCGGCCCCGGCCCCCTCCGAGTCCACTCCCAAGTCCTTGCACCCATGGTACGGCATCACCCCCACCAGCAGCCCCAAGACAAAGAAGCGTCCTGCCCCGAGAGTACCCAGCGCGTCCCCTCTTGGTGAGTGCTGTCCCTGGAGCTGTCTGGACCCTTGGGTTGGCAGGGTGGGGGCTGCAGATGTGGCCGGAGCCTCTCCATTTCCTCCTAGAGCAGGACTGGAGCAGGTGTCAGTACCTCTGCCTGTGCATGAGAGGCCTGGAAGAAGAGTTGCCTGAGACCTCACAGTGCCGAAGTACTGGAGACAGGATTTGAATCATGGCTCTGCCTCTAGCTGGAGTCTGTACTTTTGTTTTTGGTTGGTTGTGGGGCTTGAACTCTGGGCCTAGGGAGCTGTCCCTCAGCTCCTCAGCTCAAGGCAAGCAATCTACCACTTGAGCTGGTTTTCTGGAGGTTTATTGGAGATAAGAATCTCCTGGCCTTTCCTGCCCGTGCTGACTTTGAACCTTGATCCTCGATCTCAGCCTCCTGAGTAGCTAGGATTACAGCCGTGAGCCACCGTTGCTCGGCTGTAACTTTTTTTTTTAATGCTGGTACTGAACCTTGACCTCAGAGCCTTGCGCTCTCCCTTAGCTTTTTCCACTCAAGGCTGATGATCTCCTTGAGACACACGCCTCCATTTCTGGCTTTTTGGTTGTTAATTAGAGATAATAGTCTTGAGGCCATTCCTGGCTGGGCTGGCTTCAAACCTTGACCTTCAGATTTCAGCTTCCTAAGTAGCTAGGATTTCAGGTGTGAGACACTGGCACTTAGCTCCTCTTTTTTTTTTGGTCAGTCCTGGGGCTTGAACTCTGGGCCTGAGCACGGTCCCTCAGCTCTTCAGCTCAAGACTAGCACTCTACCACTTGAGTCACAGAGCCACTGCCGGCTTCTTCTGTTTATGTGGTGCTGAGGAATTGAACCCAGGGTCTCATGCATGCTAGTCAAGCACTCTACCACTGAGCCACCATCCAAGCCTAATTTTTTTTTAATGCCTATCCAGGGGTTTGAACTCAGGACCTGACAATGTCCCTGAGCTGTTTTGCTCAAATATAGTGCTCTACTACTTGGAGCCACAGTTTCACATTCAGTTTTTAGGTGGTTAATTAGAATCAAGAGGCTCATCAACTTTCCTGTGAGGCCAGCCATGATCCTTAGATCACAGCCTCCTGAGTAGTAGGTTATAAGCGTGATTTATCAGCGCCCAGCTCTGAAGTCTGTACTCCTAACCCTCCTGCTGTGCTGATCCAACATGGGAGCTGGGGCAGTGGTTTTCCCTGTGTTGTGCTGGAGGGCCCGTGGGAGCTGTTGGCATACAGTCATTGTCACTCAGTGTCCGAGCAGCTCCTTTACTGGGGGTCTTCAGGCTGCCCGTGTGGGCCCAGCACCTGGACTGCCCAGCATCCTGACATGCGGCAGGCTTTGCACTGCCTTTCCTCCATCTCAGTCCCTTTCCATCACCGCTGGGCTCTGGCTGCCTCCGAGAGCTCAGAGGGACCATGAGCATGCTAGATATGAGACACGGCTGCAGACAGGCACCAGGTGGTCTTGAGGTCCCTTCCGTATGCATAGAGTAGATGCACAATTCTTAGGAATAGAGGACAGGAGCCAGCATGGGGCTAGAGCTCTGGGTTTGAAGCCCGCTCTGGCTGGGGTGAGTGCCTCCCTGCTTTGGAATCTGTGGCCTCGTGTGGGATGTAGCAATAGAGGTATTTACAGTGCTCAGCATGTAGCCATGTTGCTTCCCTTCCAGCCTCTGCGTTGCAGGTCGGAGACCAGGAGGAGAGCCTCACCTCCCTGGCCTTCCCCTCCATTAGTCTCACTTCCCCTGTCCTAGCCACTTGTCTTTGAGTGGTCGTAGACACATGGGACAGATGGGGAAGTGGAGGTAGCAGTCCTGTGGGGTGGGTGAGAGTCATAGATAAGCCACAAAGTGGCATGGCACGGGGCGGGCATACTTTGTGACTAGAGTTCTGCCCTGTTTGTTGATCTCTGGGCTCTGGCTCCCTCTGGATGGGGGAGGGCTTGGTTTCCATGGCGACCCAAAGCTCAGAGGAGGGGCACCAGGGGGAGGATGGAAGCCCTGACTGTGCCCTGTGTGCTCCCTCCTTACTCATCTGCACAGCTCTGCACGCCTCCCGCCTCTCGCACTCGGAGCCCCCCTCGGCCACACCCTCACCAGCCCTCAGCGTGGAAAGTCTGGCATCCGAGAGCTGTAGCCACACGGCTAGCACGGAGCTTCTGGAAACCCCTGCCGTGCCCAAGAGCTCTTCAGAGCCTGCTGTGCATGCCCCCAGTGCCCCTGGCACCCCCGCCAACTCGGCCAGCCCCTCAGCCAACTCTTCCCTGTCCTCCGGAGAGCTGACACCGCCTGGTGGGGAGCGGGCACCCCAGGCCAGGACTAGCCCCGGCTCCCAGCTAGCCAAGCCCTGCATTGGTGCCACCCCTACCCCTCTCGTGTTGGCTGGAGACAAAAGCCCTGTGCCTTCCCTGGGGAGCTCGTCCCCACAGCTGCAGGTCAAGGTGAGTGGTCCCCATCCTCCCCAAAGCTACATCTTTGCTAGTGGATGTGGGTCTGGTGTGGGGCAAGAATGGTACAAGGATGCTGCACCTTGGTGCTCACTCCTGTAATCCCAGCTACTCAGGAAGCTGAGATCTAGAGGATTGCAGTTTGAGGCCAGCCCAGGCAGAAAAATGTGAGTCTTCAAAACAATCAGAAGAAAGCAGGGCTGGAGGTGTGGTTCAAATGGTAAGAGTGCCAGCTGAGCAAGCAAGCTAAGTGAGCGTGAGGCCCTGAGATCAAACCCCAGGACCATCACCACCACCATGAGCGTCCAGGGTCTGAAGACCCTGCTAGCCGCTGGCTTGAGTGGCCTTGGCTATGTCCACTCACCCATTTACCACTCTGTGCAATGAGGCGCAATCCATTGGTCTATCCTTCCATCCATCTGCCAGAACTCCCACCCATCTCCTCACCTGCCCATGCATGATACGTCCCTATTTTGAGACTTATTCACCTGCCACCCTTCACCCACACACCTCCTGTCCATTCTTTTTTTTTTGGTCCGGTCTTGGGGCCTGAACTCTGGGCCTGGGCGCTGTCCCTCAGCTCTTCAGCTCAAGGGTAGAACTCTACCACTTGAGCCACAGCGCCACTTCCGGCTTTTTTCTTTTTTCTTATGTGGGGCTGAGGAATTGAACCCAGGGCCTAGAGCATGCAAGGCAAGCGCTCTACCACTGAGCTACCTTCCCAGCCCCTCCTGTCCATTCTTCTACTCCCTGGGGCTCCATTGTTCCCAGGTCCCAGCCACAATTGTATTAAGACCTTCTTTGCCATTTAGAAGCTTATATATGATTGTTGATCATGTAGAAGAGACATATGATTGTTCTTAGAAGGCTGTCTGGAACAAAGCAGAGGGAAGATGCCCCTCCAGCAGACACCTGTCTCCTGCTGCAGATTGGGGGGGGGCATGGAAGCAGCCTAGGATCCTGGGGTACTGCCAGCAGGGTGATCCTGGCAATGGGGTGCTCACAACCAGGTCAGAGAGACGCTGGAGTAAATGGCTCCTTCTGCCATCTTGCTGGCATCTGAAAGAACAGGGTCAGTCTGCAAGAAGAGGAAGGCTCAGGACCCGGGCCTCACAGAGCAGCTCTGTTGAGAGCTGTGTGTGGGGTGCTTGCAGAGGGGTGGCAGACTCAGGCCCCTTGTTGGACCCCTCCCAGCCCTTGCTGGGTGTCTTTCCTTAGGGATGAAGCAGGCACAAGGTATGTCTGGCTGGACCCCTTGTCTGGGCAGCCAGTATTCAGATGCTTTGTGCATATGGACTCCTATGTTCTCAGTCCTATGCCAAGAGCCTGTGGTCACCTGGCATGGCCTGATATCCAGTTACCTCTCCCTCCTGGCTATGGTACCTCTTCTTCAGACTTTTCCCAGTCCCCAAGGCTTGGCCAGCTCTGGGCAGAGGGTGGCCAGGTAGCTTACACTGGGCAGCTGGAGTCTGGATGAGCAGTTGTCGGTCCTCGTGGGAGGCCAGACCCTCCCTCCCTGGCTGGGGGATGACTCTCCTTGGAGCACTTAGGGCCTGATGTGGCCGCTTCCAATGAGCTGGGGAGCACTGCCACTGCCACGTGACAGACGGGGCCCTGCCTGCAGCAGCTTGGGTCCTGCCCCTCAGAAAGGGGCACAGGCCTCTGCAGAGCAGCGGAAGGGTGCGAGGGGTCTGGGAGTGCCGGTGATGGGCTAGGTGGTGGAGTGAGGCATGGGCTGCCTCCTTCCATCTATTGGCCAGAAGGAGGGCAAGGTTCTTGCTTTTGCCCTTTCTGGATGGGTGACCTTGGGTAGACGCTCTGCCTCTGAGCCTCAGAGTCTGGTTGTGAGGCCTGAACCAGATCTAGCTGTGTGTTGCACTTGATCTCAAAGTCTGGCCTCCTCCCCTTGGTGCTGGTGACTGCCAGGCCTGCCTGGGCAGCACTGGGCGTGGTGCTTAACCTCTCAATTTACTTGCTCAGCTGTAAGATGGTCATTACAATACCCACTGCGCAGAGAGGTTGTGAGAGACTTAATCTTTGTGTGTGATGTTTGGGATGGATCACAGAGGTCTTGTGTGTGCTAGGCAGGCACTTACGCTGAGGTACACACCCTTGGTCCTGCTTAGGAGATTTAAATGGGAAGGCATATAATTTAGCAGCCAATGGATGGGCACTGGTGGCTCACACCTGTAATGCTAGCTACTCAGGAGATTGAAATCTGAGGATTGTAGAAGTCAACCGGACAGAAAAAAATCCATAAACCATCCAAATGCTGGAAGTTGAGGTGTGGCTTAAGTGGTAGAACACCAGTAATGGCATAGATAAAAACACTCACTCTGGGGGGCTGGGAAGGTGGCTCAGTGGTAGAGTGCTTGTCTTGCATGCATGAGGCCCTGGGTTCGATTCCTCAGCACCACATACACAGAAAAAGCTGGAAGTGGGTGCTATGGCTCAAGTGGTAGAGTGCTAGCCTTGAGCTGAAGAGCTCAGAACAGTGCCCAGGCCCAGAGTTCAAGCTTCTCGACCAGCAAAAAAAAACAAAACAAAAAAAACACTCATTCTGGTGAGTGGCAGGATCTCTTTGAAATGGAGTGTTTGGAGGGGATCCTGTTCTTGTCAGGGCCCTCTTTCCCCATGGGGAGCCCTCTTACTGCTGGGATCTGGGTTTACTTTACAATTTTTCTTTATGATCAGGCTGCCTCCTTCCTATTCCTAAACAATTCTGTCCCTCCCCCTTAGTCTTCCTGCAAGGAGAACCCTTTCAACCGGAAGCCATCACCTGCAGCATCTCCAGCCACAAAGAAGGCCACCAAAGGAACCAAACCCTGCAGGCCACCTGCCCCGGGACACGGCTTTCCACTCATCAAACGCAAGGTGCCAGGGATTCCAGAGACCCAGCTGGCCCTGGCCCTCCTCTTGGCATCTTAGGCTGGGTGTTTGGGCCTGGGTTGTAATTAGAGGCTCTTGGGTGGCCTGACTGGAAGGCTGAACGTACAGCCAGTGTGCTCTTACAGCAGCTGGGCCCTAGGCAACCAGGAGCAGCGGGTGGGGCATTTAACTTGTTACTAAGACTTGAGAGGCCTCTACTTAGACTGAATTGCTATCCTCAAGGTTGTTTCTGTAATCTCAAGGTTGTTTCTCTAAGGGTCATTCACTCCCCCTGGGTGGCCAGAAAGCATGGAAACTTCTATGGGATGGTGGAGAAGGGAGGGAGGGAGAAAGGGCAGGAAGTTCCACCCCCTGGGGACCTCTGTGGGAACTGGGACTCAGGGTGTGCTGGGTGTGATCCTTAACCCTTCCCCACTCATCTGCTATTGTTCAGGATGACAGGTGGGAGGAGACCCAGGTCCCTGCACCCTGCAGTGACCAGCACTAACTGGAAAGAGAGATGGGCTGGGCACTTGTGGTTCATGTCTATAACTAGCTACTCAGGAGGCTGAGATCTGAGGATCTGGGCTCAAAGCCAGCCTGGGCAGAAAAGGCCATGAGAATCTTATTTTCAGTTAACCACCAAAAATCCAGTGGGGTTGTGGCTCAAGTTGGTAGAACGCCAGCCCTGAGCCTAAAAGCTAAGGGACAGGGCTGGGAATGAGGCTCAGTGGTGGAGTGCTTGTCTAGCATGCATGAAGCCCCAGGTTCGATTCCTTGGTATCACATAAACAGAAAAAGCCAGAAGCAGTGCTTTGGCTCTTGTGGTAGAGTGCTAGCCTTGAGCAAAAAAGGAGCTCAGGGACAGTGCTCAGGCCCTGAGTTCAAGCCCCAAGACTTGCCAAAAAAAAAAGAAAAAGAAAAAAGAAAGAACTTCAAATAAACAAATAAAAGCTAAGGGACAGTACCCAGGCCCCAGTATCAGCATCAAAAGAAAGGATAAGATGCTCTGCAGCAGCCTGAGCCAAGGAAGGGCAGGTAGTATGAGGGATGGCTGTCCTCCAGCTAACCAGGACCCTGTCTGGCAGGTCCAGGCTGACCAGTATGTCCCCGAGGAGGACATTCACGGAGAGATGGACAGCATCGAGCGCCAACTGGATGCCCTGGAACATCATGGGGTCCTGCTGGAGGAGAAGCTGCGTGGCGGAGCGCCTGGTCTGGGCCGCTGGGAGCTGACTGAGGGGCTTGGGGGTGGCAGGAGCCCCTTGTCCTGGTGGAGGGTGGGCTAAGCTGGGAAGTACTTGTAGCCCTGGCCTCAGTGGCTTTGTATCTTGCAGAGGGCCATGAGGACGACATGCTGGTGGACTGGTTCAAGCTGATTCATGAGAAGCACCTGCTGGTGAGGCGGGAATCTGAGCTCATTTACATGTGAGTCTTGTCCGCCTCTGCCCGGGGTCCATGGCGCTGGGAACTGAAAACCCTGGTGCCAGCTGCCCTCTACCCTCCTGACACAAGGTTCATCCATGCTTTCATCCCACCCTCTAGCTTCAAGCAGCAGAACCTGGAGAAGCGGCAGGCTGATGTGGAGTACGAACTCCGGTGTCTTCTCAACAAACCTGGTGAGCACCGCTGTCCACAGCTGGGGTGGGAGGAGTGGGCTGGGGTCTGCCCCTCGGGGCTGGTTACAGGGCCAGGAGTGAGGCAGGAGGGGCCAGGTGGGCATTCTTGAGATGGGATCGAGCCGGGCACTGGTGGCTCACGCCTCTAATCCTAGCTACTCAGGAGGCTGAGATCTGAGGATCGTGGTTCAAATCCAGCCTGGGGAGAAAGTCCATGAGACTCTTATCTCCAATTAACCACTAGAAAACCATAAGTGGCCCTGTGGCTCAAGTTACCACTTGAGCTCGCCTTGAGCTGAAGAGCGCAGGGACAGCGCCCAAGCCCAGAGTTCAAGCCCCACGACCAACCAAAAAAAAAAAATGGGATCAAGCATTATAGGTGATAAATAACTCCAGCCATGAGAGAAAACCACCGGGACAGGGTTGGGGTGTGGCATTGGCAGGCTCTCAGAAAACACCAGGCCCACGAGCAGCCTGATCTGTTTTGGACATGGGAGTCAGACAGGCAGTCAACTTGCTGTGTAACCTTGGCTGGTTTCTTTGCCTCACTGGACCTCAGTAGTTTTGCATGTAGGACAGAAATGAAGGGACCCACGTTGGAAGGTGTTGTGTAACCAGGAGACAGGAGATGGGAAAGCACTCCATAAGTCAGCTGGGCTGTCAGTGAGCTGGGTTCTAGGGTGGGCGGGCTCCTTACCTGCTCTGTGGTCGGGGCACCATGGACCCAGGAGCCAGGGCTTTTGATCTCTTCCCTGTGGCCAGGGAGGGCACCAGCCCTGGGCAAGGACTTGCATTTCACAGTCAAGGAAACGGAGGGTACCTGGTCTGGCTGCTCTCTGCCCTGCACACATGGTCCCCCTGTCTCTTGTGACTGGGACCTTGGGAGGCTGGAGTGAGTGGCCTTGGGAAAGCACAGAATGTCCCCGGCTTCCAGTGCCAGCTGTGTGAGTCACACCCACATGCCTGGCTACTATTCAGGGAGCCACAGCGACACCCTGTGGTCACAGTGGACGTGCAAATGCAGATTCCCCTGCCAGCCTGGGCTTGGTTTGTTGTTGTTGTTGCACAACCTGGGCTGGTCAGCTTGACCCTGACGCTGATTTTGGAGGGTGAAGCTGGTCTACAGGGCCCCATGAGGGTTGGAGATCCAAAAGACAATGGCCACCACTGGAGTGTCAGGCTGCCCCAATTAAAACGCTGATCCCACTTTTGCTATGTCATGGGCCGGATTTCCTTGAACCTCAGAAACAAGGACTTAACTCATTTCCAGACCCAGTGGCGGAGCTGGATTTGCACTTGGGTGATAGCTCTCAGCCCGTGTTCTCTCCCCAGAACTAGGGGACAGAGCTAGTCATCTGCTCCTGGGTTTTGGCCACGTGAGGTACTGGGGGATGGGGCAGTGGCTGAGTGGTCTCAGGGTGTTCATTTCTGAACATGGGGCAGACGGTAGGGGGGAAGTATGAAATGGGGCACCCATCCTCTGGAGCCCACAGACTGCGGGAAAGGGAAACAAAGGCACAGGTCAGGTGGACCTCTGCAGTGACAGACTTGGGAGGAGATCAGAAGGGCCACAAGCACCACATGTGGGGGACCTGGCTAGGTGCCTGTCCCCACGGTCCCCTCCATCTGTCCTCCTCTGTGGCTTTGAGTGAATGTCCCTGTATGCCTCTTGGGCTACTTTGCTTCTGCAAGAGAACCCCTGAGGGTGTCCTGCTATCTCCCTGCCCCCGCCCCTGCCCCTCTCTGTCCCACCCCAATGACGCCTCCCCAAGGAAGCCACCTGGTACCCACTTGCTTGCAGCATGGAAGTGGGAGGCATCTGCCTCTTGAGTTCTGACGTGTGTATGTGTGTGTGTGTGTGCATGTGCGTGCGCGTGCGCACACATGTGTGCCAATGCTGGGGCTTAAACTCAGAGCCAAGGCACTGTCCCTTAGCTTTTTTGCTCAAGGCTGACACTCTACCTCTTGAGCCACAGCTCTACTTCTGGCTTTTTGGTAGTTAATTAGAGATGAGTCACACAGACTTTCCTGCCCTGGACTGGCTTTGAACCTGGATCCTTAGATCTCAGCCATGCTGAATAGCTAGGATTGTAGGGGTGAGCAACTGGCTGGCTCCTGTCCTTCCAGCTGCATGGTGCTGGTCTTGCTCAGGCTCCTTGAAGGGTGTCTGGGGAAGGTAGCCTAGTATTCTTGGTTCCTTTTCCATTGACCTTCACTTCCCTAAGAAACCTGCGGGGCCTGAATCTCCAGGGACCTCCTGTCACCCCAGTGAGGACAAATTTTCTCACTGTTCACATCTGGGCTTTCTTGCCTGACAGAAAAAGACTGGACAGAGGAGGACTGGGGTCGGGAGAAGGTGCTGATGCAGGAGATTGTGACCCTCATTGAGCAACGCAATGCCATCATCAACTGCCTGGACGAGGACCGGCAGAGGTGCTGGGTTGGGGTTCAGTGGGTGGGGCAGCTCCTTGGTACCAGCTGGGGCACAGCCCCACACCCTGGGGCTGGAAGGAGTTCAGGGGACCTCACCCTCCTATGGGTACTCAGGTGTCCCTCGCTCATTTCAGGGAAGAAGAGGAAGACAAGATGGTGGCAGCCATGATGAAGAAGAAAGGTGGGACCCGTCCTGGCTGGGCAGTCCATGTTGGGTTCTCATTTACCCAGAGCACACAATGTGGGATCCAGGGGTCCCACGTTGGGCTGACAGTTGTGGGTCCCTGGTTCTATCCAAAACACTGGGAGAGGCTGGTCTCCACATCCTGGGGAGCAAAGGGGGGCTTGGACTAGTGGACTGATTAGTCCCAAGTTTTCTATGGGGGTGAGTGGCTGGGCCACCCTTGGCCTCCACGATGACCCCTCCTTTCTAGTTAAGCGTTCCCCTTTCTCTGCTGCAGAGTTCCAGAAGGAGGCTGAACCTGAGGGCAAGAAGAAGGGGAAGTTCAAGAGCATGAAGATGCTCAGGCTGCTGGGAAATAAGCGCGATGCCAAGAGCAAGTCTCCCCGGGACAAGAGCTGACAGCGAGAGAAGCCGTGTGACTGCCTGTTGACTGCCCACTGGCTGCCCATTGACTGCCCGCTCCTGGAGCCCCAAGGCTGGAGAAACCTCCTACCCTCCAATCCACAGAGGGAGTCGGGGTGAGCCCTGCCCGCCCCCGGGGTCCTCTGACTTACCTGGGCCAAAGAGTTTCCTTCCTTCTTCTCTGCATCCCAAACAGCTGTGACTCAGCCGTGTCCGGTCCAATTCTGACCATTTCAGATGCTGTGAGAGACACACAAGGCAAGCAGGGACCTGGGGACAAGGAAGGGACAGTGACTGAGCATGTTATGTCCCCTTGGTGCAAGCTCCTTGGCCAGTCTCCTCCCTTCTGGACCAGGCCAGATGGAAGCTTTGCTGTCGGAGTTCTGCCCAGGTTCGGACTCCACCTGGGGCTCCTGGCCTGGGGCTGTTTCTGCCCCCAGGTGGCTCCTTCCTACCCAGCCCACCTGATTCTCTGTCTTCCCATGCACTGCCTCATCTCTCGTGTTCCCTCGATCAGTTGCTCTATTTATGATGTCTTCAGCTCCTGGTTTCTGGGTGGTCTGTGCTGTCAGACCTGAATGGCAAATCCCACCTCCCCTCCCTCAGAGTTCTAGAAGCTTTTTCTCTCACTCACTCTGTTCCATAGGAAGCCTCGCATTCCCCTTCCCCCCCCACACACACACAGAGGGCCCTCGATGATGCACCAGGGCAGGTGGGTGCCAACATTAGCTGCTTCTGTGCCAAGTCCCCTGGCAGGGAAGTTCTTGGCTCCACTGTCAGCCTAGGGAAGGGGCGCTTCAGGAAGGTGCTAACCATGGTTCTCAGTCATGTTGTAGTCTGACCCCTGATTTTGGCTTTCCTCTTCCATCCCACACCCAAGGATGGGGCCCATACCTGCCTCTGGTCCTTACGAGTCTGTCTTTTCTGTTACTCTTCCCTCCCGATTTCCACCTGAGGGACTGATGGTTACCACCTTCTGGATAGTTGTGGGACAGGAGAAGTGCTACAGACAGTTTTGTTTTGTCTTTGTGGGTTTGTTTGTTTTTTGGTAGGTCGTGGGGCTTGAACTCAGGGCCTGAGCTCTTTTGCTCAAGGCTAGTGCTTACGACTTTGAGCCCACAGCACCACTTCCGATTTTCTGATGGAGATGAGGCTCATGGACTTTCCTGCCCAGGCTGGCTTTGAACCATGATCCTTAGATCTCAGCCTCCTGAGTAGCTAAGGATTACAGGTGTGAGCCACTGGTGCCCTGCTTTTTGTTTTGTTTTGTCCAGGCAGCTCTTGGTCAAAGCACTGTTCTATAAGCTCCTGGGGGTCCCCCCCTGCGCTCTTCTTCCATGCATCTTGGGAGAAAAGATAGCACTGTGTTAACTCTAGGGTGCTCTTTGCCAACAATAAATGGACATCATTTTGTTTCTGCCCTGAAGCCTTGGGCATAGCCGTGTCTGCCTTCTTCCCTGCCATTGCATACTTTGTGGCCAACCTGTGGTTGCTGAGGGTTGCCTGGCACTGGGCAGGGTTCTCTTCCTCTGCAGGGACAGCCAGCTCCTGGCACCTGATCTGGAGCGGGGCTGCCACCTCCAAGGCCCTTTGGGGCAGGCAGCTGGCCTGAATGGCTCCTCAGGCTGGGTGTCAGGTCCCATCCTTCAAGGGGACCTTGACACCCACTTAACATGGGCTATAGCCCGCAAGTCCAGGGCTGCCAGATCTTTCCCCTTTTTCAAAAGCAACTGAGGAATCCAGACTTTGTATATGAAACTTGTGAGTGTATACCTAATCTGGTCAGGAATGGATTGAATCTGTTCTGGTCTCCAATTTGGGGCAGTGTGGAGGACGTCCCTGTCATGCCTCGGACAGTGTGACATGGGCTTCCTGTGGGATATTCTCAGTCAGCCTTACGTAGTTTACAGCTGTATAAACCAAATCCTGGGTCGTGTGATCTGATGGGATTGTGTGGTACCCTGCAGGTACAGGAGATCGCCCTCAGGATTGGCTGATATATCCAAAATACTTTGGTGATTTATGGAGACAGGAAGATGAGAGCCCTGGAGAAGATTGGGCTAGGAGTGGCGGAAGCCTGAGGGGCGGGCACTAGCCCTGAAGTACTCTGTAGCAGGCTCGGCACGGGCTGCCTTCTTGTCAATCACTCCTCAGCCTCACGGAAGCATAACCCAGCATGGAGGCTGTGGGTTTGGAGTTTTTCAGAGGTTAAGGTTGAGGTCATGTAGTACATAGTGAGGCTGGAATGCCAAAGCTGGGACCACTCAAGTACGGGCCCTGTCCACTCCGTCATTTCTTCTTGTCTGCTTTATGGAAGACTAAACTAAGCTTTAATCTGAGTAGGCTGTTTGCTGCTTAAGTGCCCTGGGTTGTATGAGCCAGGCCCACTGTCTACAGAAGTTCAGTGCCCGCTATCGTCGCTGCCATGGAGGGCTCGAAGGAGCCAGGGTCCCATTTTCTTTTTTTGTGCTAGAACTGGGGCTTGAACTCAGGGCCTGAGTGCTGTCCCTGAGCTTTTTTGCTCAAGGCTAGTTACTCTACCACTTGAATCTTCCAGCTTTCTGGTGGTTAATTAAAGGTAAGAGTCTCATGGACTTTCCTGTTGAACTGGCTTTGAACTGTGATTCTCAGATCTCAGCCTCCTGAGTAGTTCCCATTATAGGCATGAGCCACTGGTGCTTGGCTTGTCTGTGTGTGTGTGTGTAAATGCATGTGTGCATGTGTGTACACACCTGTACAGGGCTTGGACACTCAAGGGTGGTGCTCCAGCTTTCTGGTGGTTAACTGGAGACTCACGATTTTCTTTCCATACAGCAGCCTGTTGGATGGAAATCATGTATTCTTGACAAGTTCTAAATAACTTTCCCTCTGAAAACAGGGAGTTGCATGTGGAGACCCCCAAGTTAAATGTGTTTTATTAAGGCCAATTAATCCTTGCAGAGGCTACAAAAAGTCAAATAAATAATAGGTCCTAAGACAGCAGATGGAAGGAGTCCTCTTCATTCTTAAGTTAGAAAGGCCACAAACGGGATCCCCAGAGGCTGCGGTGGTGGGTGGTGGGAGGAACTGCTGGGGGGCCTTGCAGCATGTCCGGGATGGGTGAGGCTTAGGCCTTGCCTTCACTGGGTCTGGGCGCTCGCCCTAGAAAAGATTCCAGCATTCCAAGTCTGTGTCTGACTGTGGGTGCCAAACATCCCTGGAGGGTCGAGGGAGCCCCTTGGTTTCTGTACATCAAGGCAGTGGCACGCTACCAGCTGACATGGCTGGAGGCCGGTGTGGGTGGGCTCCTGTGGCCAGGCTGCGCTGGCCTGCCCATCTTACGTGGAGGCCAGAACCTTGCTAAGTTCCTTGCTCCTCTTGCGGTCAATGTCTTCCATCTCCCGGAGTTTCTGTAAGGGGAAACTGGGGTCAGCTGGCTCAGGGTCCTGCCATCCTGGGGCCCCCCCTCCTGGGGTACCCTCCCTTTCCCCACTTTCTGGCTGCTGCTTCTACCTGGGAGATCTCAGCAAGGATGAGCCCTCGGTATTGCTTGCCCTGCCCCAGGGCCTCCATGGCAGTCAGGAATTCTTTCCTGTCCTGGATCTCCTTCACCACTGCACAGAGGGAAACGGGCGTCAGTGTCCAGGCAAATGGGACCCCAGGCTCCATGAGCTGCGCGGGCTAGTGCACTGCCTCACAGTGGTTCTTGATTTTTAGTTATTTTTGTGCTGGTTCTGGTTTGACCTCAGGGCCTAGGTGCTGTCTCTAAGCTTTTTCACTCAAGGTCTGTGCTCTACCACTTGAGTTACAGCTCCACTTTTGGCTCTTTGCTGGTTAATTGGAGAGAAGAGTTTCATGGACTTTGCCACCCATGCTGGCCTTGGCCTCGCTGTGGTTTTGTGTGAAGTGATGTTGCTCTCTTGGCCCCACCCTCCTCTGCACCCTCCTCCCGCAGCTGGCTTACGTTCTTCAAACCGGTCCACCTCGGGGCCTGGGTCCTGCTGCTGCACAGGGGCTTCCTTCTTTTTCCGTTCCTCTTGGTCCTTCCCAGTGGCGAAGATGTTTTGGAGCCTTCGTTTCTCCTTGTCCAGATCTCCTGTCGGGCCCAGGAATGGCCTTGTTAAGGTGCAAATAGCACCCTTCTCCAGAATGTTGCAATGGGCATGCGCATTGCAGGGTGTCTGGGTCATGGGGAGAGGGCCTCTGCACACCCAGCCGCTACTCCCCTGGCTGACTCTGAGCTTGTCATGTCAAGACAGTGCTTGAAAGAACCGAAGAGGGGCTGGGAAGGTGGCTCAGTGGTAGAGTGCTTGCCTTGCATGCATGAGGCCCTGGGCTCCATTCCTCAGCACCACATAAACAGAAAAGGCCGGAAGTAGGACTGAGGCTCAAGTGGTAGAGCGCTAGCCTTGAGCTGAAGAGCTGAGGGACAGTGCCCAGGCCCAGAGTTCAGGCCCCATGACCAACAGAAGGAAGGAAAGAAAGAAAGAAGAAAGGAAGAAAAGAAAGAACTAAGAAGAGCCGGGCGCCAATGTCTCACACCTGTAATCCTAGTTACTCAGGAGGCTGAGATCTGAGGATCACAGTTCAAAGCCAGCCCAGGCAGGAAAGTCCATGAGACTCTTAACCTCCAATAAACCACCAGAAAACCAGAAGTGGCACTGTGGCTCAAGAGGTAGAGCACTACCCTTGAGCTGAAGAACTCAGGGACAATGCCCAGGCCCAGATTTCAAGCCCCACAACCAACAACAACAAAAAAAAACAAAAACCAAGAGGTTTGCCAAAATCTACACACTTTGGAGCAGAGCAAGGCTAAGGAAACTCAGGAACCCTGGCCTCCTCGGCCTGTTAACAGTATGGGGAGCTTGGGGCCAGGCAGGAACAGGCGAAGGACCTGGGAGGCGGCTGGAGCACAGCCACATGCCTCTCAGGGATTAGGAGAACACAGTTAATTTAAAAAAAAAAAAGGAATTTGGGGATGTGTGTGTCTGTGGGGGATGGGGCCTGGGGGGGGGAATCTGAGGTTTGAACTCAGGGCCTGGGCACTGTCCTTGAACTTTTTCACTCGAGGCTGGTGCTCTATCACTTGAGCTTCAACCTCACTTTTCGATTTTTTGCTGGTTAATTGGGAGTCTCATGCACATTCCTCCCCTGGCTGCTTGGAACCATGATTCTCAGACCTCAGCCTCCTGAGGAGCTAGGATTACAGGAGTGGGCCACTGGCACCCAACTCTGGGGGACAAAAAAACCCAAAAACAAACAAACAAAAAACATTTAAGAGGGTGAGGGACCACCTGTGTTTGTTTTTGTTTTCTTCTTTTGTTGTAAGACCAGGCCTCAGTCTCAGTGCCTGACACTTTGCTCATTGGCTGGTGCTCTACCAACTGAGCCTCGCCTCCAACCCTGACCTGTTTTCTCCTGTACTCTCCACAGCCCCTCCCCCATGCTAACATGTGCAAAGGCTCAAAAGCATTTGTATAAGGCATTTGATTAGACAGCAGGTGACCTGCCCTGGGGACTGCTGTCTCTGGCCCCCTACATCTCCAGAGGACTGAAGGGAGTGCCTAGCTGGTGCTCTGTCACTTACTTGTGGCTCGAGGCTTGAACTGCTCCCTGTTGTAGGCCCCATTGGCCTGGCACAAACTGGCAGGCCGGAGGCCGGAGCGGGCGGTCAGGATGGGGGGCAGATGGCTGGAGGTGGGCTGCTTGACAGAGCATCTTCTCGGGCTGGAAGTCGGGTTGCATTGTAGGGGCAAAGGGTCTCCTCCTGGGGACAGAAGGGTGGGGTAGGAGAATCTGCCTGGCTTCCCTCACCCCTGAGTAAAAGGGAGTTGCTGCGCTCACTTGGGCAGCACATACACTTCAACTGGAACATACAGAGAAGATTGGCATGGCCCCTGCACAACGAAGACATGCAAAGTCATGAAGCATTCTGTATTTTAAAAAAAGCAAGTTGTCTGTGATTCTAAGTCAAATGGATGGGAGCCCTCCAAGCCCATCCCTCTCCTCCAAGCAATGGAAACACTGCTAGTCTTTCCTTACTTCCTGACACTCAGACAAACGTATTCCGAGATATGTGTGCATATATTTTATATGTGCATATAAGATTCTATTTGCAAACACTGGATCAGATTGTGTTATAGCCAATAACTTTTCACTTAACAATTTTTCATTTTTCCAGAAAACCCTGTTTCTATGTAAGTTATTTGCTATCTATCTTAGAGTGATTACATTATTTATTTAGCTGGTCTCCTATTTTCAGACATTCAGAATTTGCAATGTTTTTGTTGATGCTTTTTTTTTTTACTACTTCAAACAAAACAATGCTGCAATAAACATTCTTGTACAGCAATCCACTCATGTACTGGAGGTTTCCTTTGTTTTTGTGCTGCTTGGTGCCCTGGGGGGGGGGGAGGAAGGGGACGATTAGGCTACTCTTGATACCCATGGCTCCTTCCCCACACCAGCTAAGTGTGCCCTCTCCTGTTGGCCCATTCTCCCTGCCTTCATGCCTAGCATAGAGCAGGCCTCACCACTTGCTTGGATCTGGCTCCTTTCTACCTCTCTAGCTTTCCATATCATGGAATGTAGACACAGTATGCATTCTGGGACTTTGTCTTCTGAGCCCCTGGAGGAGCTGGGGTGGGGCGGGGAGACACTGAGAGAGAGGTATGTATGATATGACCTTGGCATAAGTAACTTGTTTGGCGGCTGGGGCACTGAGGGGTATGGTGGAATTGCAGTTATTTATTGTTATTATGAAATGATGTACAGAGGGATTCTGATTACATGTCAGGTAATGAGTATGTTTCCTTTCATACAGTGTCTTCTGTTTTTTACTGATTGTTTTTAGGAAAAGTCTTGCTTTCTACCTGGGCTTATGCCTGAGCCTCAATCTGCCTAACAACACCGTATCCAGTTTTTCTTTCTTTTTTTCTTTCTTTTTTTGTCAGGTGTGGAGCTTGAACTCAGGGCCTAGGTGTTGTTCTGGTGTCTTTTTGCTCAAGGCTAACATTACTTTTATTTTTTTTGGGGGTCTGGTCGTGGGACCTGAACTCTGAGCCAGAGCGCTGTCCCTCAGCTCTTCAGCTCAAGGCTAGCACTCTACCACTCGAGCCACAGCGCCACTTCCGGCTTTTTTCTTTTTGCTTATGTGGTGCTGAGGAATCGAACCCAGGGCTTCAGGCATGCAAGGCAAGCAAGCGCTCTACCACTGGGCCACTTCCCAGCCCAACATTACTACTTTTAGCCACAGTGCCACTTCTATTTTTCTGATAGCTAATTGGAGATAGGAGTCTTTCCTGGCTGGCTTTGAATAATGATCCTCAGATCTCAGCCTCCTAAGTAACTAGGATTACAGGCATGAGCCATTAGCACATTGTTTTAGTTTTTTTTGTTTTTGTTTTAATTGATTAATCTTGTGTCCTTTTCTGGTCTGGAACTGTAATCCTCCCAACTGCAGCTTTCCACAGAGCTTGAGCTGATAGGTAAGTATACTTACACACAGCTATGAGTATAAAAAAAGGCTTCAAGAATGTTTCTGCTCAAGCTGGCCTCAAACTGCAAATCCTCTCATTCTCAGCCTCCCAGGGGTAGCTAAGATTACTGGTGTGAGTCACTGGCACTGGTTGGATGCGCAGTTTTAAGAGTGGCCAGGAAAAGAAGGCCTCATGAAGAGTGTAACATTAAAGAAAAGACCAGAGAAGACGAGGACAATGGTGCTGCAGATATTGTGGGGGAAAACATTCCAAGTGGAGGGAAAAGATGATGAGATAGAGTACCCCCTGTGCCTAAGGCACAGCCAAGAGGCTAAGGTAGCAGGAGGGGGCGAAGGGGGAGGTCAGAGGTCAGAGGTTACAGGGCCTCTGGAAAGGTCCTTTTACCCTGTGGTGTGGAAAAGTCATGGCAGGGCTGTGAGGGGAAGCCTGGCCCTTCTCAGTGGCTGCTGAAGGTCCAGTGCACAGCCAAGGGCAGATTGGGGTCACCAGCAGTGGGAGTGCTCAGTTAACATAGCATGATAATCCAGCCCCGGGCCCCGTGGTAGCCCAGAAGGTGAAGGTGAGGTGGTTAGAGTCAGGATGTGACTTGAAAGACAAGCAGAAAGGCGGCTGGTGTGAGACGGACCTATCCGTCCCTCCTCTGGACCCTCTATCCTGGATGTGGAGCTGTGGCTCCCTAGTGGTGGGGTAAGAGAGCCAGACCCTGAGTTCAAGCCTCAGTACTGGCACACATGTGCATATACACACGTGCGTGTGCACGCGCGCCTACAGCGCAGCCAACAGCTGGGTGCTAGTGGCTCATGCCTGAAATCCTAACTACTCAGAGGGCTGACATCTGATGTTTGAAGCCAGCATGGGTAGGAATGTCCAATCACCACAAAAAGCTGTAAAGAACTGTGGCTCTAGTAGTAGAGTGCCTGCCTTGAGTGACAAAGCTAAGGGACAGTGCCCAGGCCCTGAGTTGAAGCCCCACTACTACTGGCACAAAAAAAAAGTCTTTTAAAAAACCTAACAACAAGCCAGGTACTGGTGGCTCATGCCTGTAATCCTAGCTACTCAGGAGGCTGAGATTTGAGGATCACGGTTCAAATCCAGCCCAGGCAGGAAAGTCTGCGAGATGCTTATCTCCAATAAACCACTCAGAAAACTGGAAATGGTGCTGTGGCTCTAGTGGTAGAGCACTAGCCTTGAGCTGAAGAGCTGAAGGATATTGCCCAGGCCCAGAGTTCAAGCCCCATGACCGACAAAAAAAAACAAAACAAAAACAAACCAAAAACCTAACAACAGATGCAAACCTCAAAACAACTGGGACAATTTGGTCAGGAGGAAGGCAGAGGACTTTCAGGAGGAGAGGCTGAAGCTACCAAAGTTTGGAGGCTGGTGTTTTATGTTTTTTGTTTTGTTTTTGTTCTGCCAGTCCTGGGGCTTGAACTCAGGGCTGAGCACTGTCCCTGAGCTTCTTTTGCTCAAGACTAGTACTCTAGCACTTGAGCCACAGCACCACTTTCAGCTTTTTCTGTTTATGGGGTATTGGGGAACCAAACTAGGGCTTCATTCATGCTAGGCAATCATTCTACCACTGAGCCTCATTCCTAGTCCAGTTGGGTTATTTATTTATTTATTTGGGGGGTCCGGTCGTGGGGCCTGAATTCTGGGCCTGGGCACTGTCCCTCAGCTCTTCAGCTCAAGGCTAGCACTCTACCACTTGAGCCACAGTGCCACTTCCGGATTTTTTCTTTTTTGCTTATGTGGTACTGAGGAATCGAACCCAGGGCCCCATGCATGCAAGGCAAGCACTCTACCACTGAGCCACCTTCCCAGCCTGGTTTTTTTTTTTTTTTTAAGATGATGTCATGCTATGTAGCACAGGCTGGTCACAAAGTTGTAATCCTCCTACCTCAGCTTCCGGAGTGTTTGGAGTGAAGGCTGTGTGTGCGTGTGTGTGTGTGTGCACGCACACACCCACATGCCAGTACTGGAGCTTTACCTCAGAGCCTGGGCACTGTCCATTAACTTCTTCATTCAAGTTCAGAGCCAAGGACTGCTCCCTCAATTTTTTTGTTTTCTTTAAAAAGAAAAAGATGCCTCCAGCTAGACACTAGTAGGCTCATACCTGTAAACCTAGCTTCTCAGGAGGCTGAGGTCTGAGGATCACAGTTTGAAGCCAGCATGGGCAGGACAGTCCATGAGACTCATCTCCAATTAATCAGCAAAAAGCCACAAATGGAGCTGTGTCTCAAGTGGTCAACACCAGCCTTGAGCACAAATGCTAAGAGATAGCTAGGTCTCAGGCCCTGAGTCCAAACCCAGTACTGGTATCACACACAGAGGGACTATGGCTCTAGCCTCTCGGCCTAAGAAGTCTGTGGACTATTCACTTCTTACTTTTTATGGTGTCCATGATGTGGCGCTGCTGGAGGTTGGTCAGCTGGGATTCCTTCATCATTACTGCAAAATAAAGCCCTTCTGTGAGGCCTCCTGGGCTGAAGCACACAGGTGTCAATACTCACCTAAAATAAGTATTTGCGGGATCAGACCCAGGGCTGTGCATATGCTAAGCATGGGCTCTACCCTTGAGCTACACCCAGCAGCAGTTTGAATCCTGGGCCTTCACATGCCTACAGTCCCCCCCCCCGCCCATTGTTGTTGTTGTTGTTTTTTGCCAGTCCTGAGGCTTGAACTCAGGGCCGAGCACTGTCCCTGAGCTTCTTTTGCTCAAGGCTAGCGCTCTACCACTTGAGCCACAGCACCACCTCTAACTTTTTCTGTTTATGTGGTACTGAGGACTTCATACATACTAGACAAGCAGCCTGCCACTAAGCCACATTCCTAACCCCACAGTCTCTTTTGTGTAGTAAAAGTGATAGGAAAGTTTACTAGGAGAGGAATATATTATCAGTAGACTGAAAGTGGGTTGGAAAAAAATCATAATAATTTTTACTCCAGTACAAGTTTCTGCTCAGGGTTAGTTGTTGAATTTTATTAATTTGTGTGTGTGTGTGTGTGTGTGTGTGTGTGTGTGTGTGTGAATACTGGGGCTTGAACTCAAGGCCTTGCATTTTCACTCAGCTTTTTTTTTTTTTTAAGCCCAGGACTGGCACTGTACTACCTCTAGTATCCAGCACACATTTTTATTGAAGTGAAGGGTTTCGAAGGTCCCTCCTCAGGACCAGCTCATGGAAAAGAGTCACTGTCCCAAGATTGGGGAGGTTTACAGAATTACACTTTCACTTCTAAGGTCTGCTTTTCTGAAGTATGATCTTCCTATTTCAGGTTCCTGAAGAGCTGGATGGCAAGTAGATATTCCCATAACTAGCTTTATTAGTTCAGATGGTCTCATGAACTTATTTGTCTAGCTTCAAACTTCGATTCTTCCCAGCTCTGCCTCCCAAAGAGCCAGAATTACAGGCATGAACTACCATACCTAGCTCTGTGTGTGTGTGTTGGTATTGGGGCCTGAACTCTGGGCTTGGGCTCTGTTCCTGAGCTCTCCAGCTCAAGGCGAGCACTCTACCACTTGAGCCACAGCGCCACTTCCAGTTTTCTGGTGGTTAATTGGAGATAAAAGTCTCATGGACTTCCCTGTCTGGGCTGGCTTTGAAATGCAACCCTCAGATCTCAGCCTCCTGACTAGCTAGGATGACAGGCACCCAGCTTGGCTGGTTTTTTAAAAATTGTACTTTTATTATCTTTAAGTAGTTATAAAAAGGGGTTACAATAAATGTCAGTTTATGAGCACAATGTGTCTTGATCAATATCCATTTCCTGAGCTTTTTCTGATCATGGCTGGTGCTCTACTATTTGGGCCATACCTCCACTCCACTTAGGAGGTGGTGGTGAATTGGTGATAAGAGTCTCAGACATGGGGCTGGGAAGGTGGCTCAGTGGTAGAGCGCTTGCCTTGCATGCATGAGGCCCTGGGTTCGATTCCTCAGCACCACATAAGCAAAAAGCCAGAAGTGGCACTGTGGCTCAAGTGGTAGAGCGCTAGCCTTGAACTAAAGAGCTGAGGGACAGCACCCAGGCCCAGAGTTCAGGCCCCATGACTGGACCACCCCCCCCCAAAAAAAAAGTCTCAGACTTTTCTGACCTGGGCTGGCTTTGGACTGTGATTCTCACATCTCAGCCTCCTGAGTAGCTAGGATTACAAAGTGTGAGCCACCTGCACTTAGCAAGTTCTTTGACTTGTACCCTCAAAGAAGGTAGCACCCCTAAACCTTTCTGAACTCCGCATGTCTTTTTTTGTTTTTGTTTTGTTTTTTTCAGTCGTGGGGCCTGAACTCTGGGCCTGGGCACCATGAGCTCTTCAGTTCAAGGTGAGAGCTCTACCACTTGAACCACAGTGCCACTTCCGACTTTTTCTGGTGCTGAGGGATCGAACCCAGGGCCTCATGCATGCAAGGCAAGCGCTCTACCACGGAGCCACCTTCCCAGCCAGAACCCGCCGTTTTTTTTTTAACCTGGAGAACAGAGTGAGGGCTAAGCCACTCACCACCGCGCCTCGCCTCTGCCCTCCAAGGCTGGGAGTACCGAGTTACGGGGGTAACCACCACCGCCGCGCCTCGCCTCTGCCCTCCAAACCTCGGAGCAGCTCGCAGGTCTCCGGGGTGTACGTGGCGCTCTTGGGGGAGTGCCAGAGTCTCGCTCCTTTGGCCGCGGTCTCCGTCCTCTCCTGCGAAGCCATGGGCGGGTCCTGGGGGGGGGGGACGCAAGGAGACACCCTGGCCTCGCCCTGGCCTCGCCCTCCCCACCCGGCCCCCCTCGCCGCCCCCCGGCGCTCCGGTGACAGTGGGGTCGGGCGGATGGCGTGAGGGGCGGGGAAGGGGCGCAGCGCCCGGCCCTCCTTCCCCGACTCAGGCAGACAGTGGTTCTGTCTGTGGCAGGTAAGGCTCCTCTAGAGGAAGAGCGCCGGGGTCACAGGCGAGCCCACCGAGTAAATGCACGCACGTTTTAAAGCCTCACCCGGAGCTGGGTCGGGTGAGACCCCTCCTGGGTGTCCCCCTCCTGCACGCAGCAGCACCGGGGTGGGAGCCCAGACCAAATCCCAGGGGATCCGGGAGAGCCGCGTCCAGGTTCCCATGGTAACCGGCACTCGCCGCCAGGCGCATGCGTAGACCGCCTGCGCTGTCCTCCAGGAAGTGATTTCCGTTGGGTCACGGCGCAAGCGCAGGACATGCGTGCTTGGTGCGCGAGGCGGCGGCGCGCTGGGCGCGGGTGTGCGCGCGGGATTCGGGCGCCGAGCCGGAGCGCTCTGACAAGAACGTCATGTCAGACAACGAGGACAAGTGGGTACCCGGAGCGGGCGGCGTTGGCGGGAGCTTGGGAAGGGGGCGGCTGAGGCGGGGCGTGGGGAAGGGCGGCCTAGGAGCCTGGCGTGGCGTGGCGGCCGAGAGGAAACCCGGGTGCGAGGGCCGGAAAGCGAGGAGCCGGGGGCGCAGGCCGGGCAGGCGCTCGGCGCGCGAAGGCCCAGGCCGGAGGTCCGGAGTCTCCCCATGGGAAAGAAGCAAAAGAGGTGTCGGGGTCCAGCCACCCGCCGGCCGGCTCGCTACGCGGCCCCGGGACACCGCACGGCGGCGAGAGCCTTTGCGCCCAGGGCGTCACTTCGGGGAAGAGGGGGCCAGCAGAAATAGTGCCGTGGGAGCCCACCTGTTGGTGGAAGTGCGGCCATCCAGAGCATGGCCTGGAGAGGAGAGAACATCGGGGTTTGGATTTAGGCTGAGAGCTTGGAGCAGGTGAGAAGTGGGCTTGAATTCTGGATTTTTATATATATATATATATATATATTTATTTATTTATGGTGGTACGCGGAAGTGGTGCTGTGGCTCAAGTGGTAAAGCAACAGCCTTGAGCAAAAAATTCTCAGGGACAACACCCAGGCCCTGAGTTCAAGTCCCAGGACGGGCACACATAAAACAAGATTATTGCGGTACTGGGGCTCGAACTCAGGGCCTGGGTGCTAGTCCTTAGCCATTTCTACTCAAGGCTGACACTCTTAACCACTTGAGCCACAGCTCTTCCTCCAGCTTGTTGCTGGTTAATTAGAGATAAGAGTCTCATCATCGGGCTGGGAAGATGGCTCAGTGGTAGAGCACTTGCCTTGCATGACTGAGGCCCTGGGTTCGATTCCTCAGCACCACATAAGCAAAAAGAAAAAAGCCGGAAGTGGCGCTGTGGCTCAAGTGGTAGAGCGCTAGCCTT